GACCGCGTGGAGGTCTATCTGATAGGGTATATTGCTAGCATTACCATTACCGACCAACAAATGGCCTTTCCCTCTATCGCTATAGGTTAGTTTAGTCCTACCCCTACTGCATCACAATGGCTTAACTGACCTGGAGGTCTACAATGAAATGAAATTCCGAATTTTTGGACTCAATTTTGTGTTTTTGATCCTATCGAAATAGTGTGCCTATGTGAATGGAGCTTAACATTTTGTTTGTCATAAATTCTACCATAAAAGCCCAAACGAACGATATTTTAATATTTTTATGCGGTGTATTACGTAATTATAACATCAAATTTGTTTTTCGTTCGGCATCGAAACTTCGAAAAATATTTTACAGTAAGCCCTATGGTTCCTCACCTATCACTAATCACCGGTGCCCGGCCAATGTATACCGATAGCACCAGGCGGGTTTTTTTATTTAATTGAATGATAACCGCGCCTGCGCTATCGGTATAAGCTGACGGGGCACCAGTGAGGGATAGATGATGATGAAAAGGCTAGTCAGTTAGTCCATCGTGATGAATATACCTGGAATTCACCCTGATGATTTCCAGTGGGAACTACGTGGAGGTCGACCTGATAGGGTATATTGCTAACTATGTGTCTAGTAGTCGGCATTACTAACAAACCCTTCCCCCCGCGTAGGGCGGGTTACCATTCTATTATCATCCATTAGAAAGACCCCTACTACAGCATCTTTTTACAGAAAGGAAGTTCTTCCTTTTCGAAACTGGGAAAAAGTAAATACGAATTTTATATAATTATATGTATTTATAATAATTACATTTAAATGTTTTTGTAATATAATTAATATACATTATGGTTAATGTTTCTTCAATTCAGCATAATGTTTAAGCGTGTCAAAGTCCAAACTCTTTCGTAATGTCGTACATATGCCACACAAACAATTTCGAATTGTCGCGACATAATTTCCACAATACGTACACTATTTCAATTGTTTAATCAAATTATATCAATTACTGTGTCCCGCTGGTTTGCTCGCTCACTAACATTGAATAAAAACATTAAGATAAGTATTAAGCGTGGGTGTAGGTAATATGGATACCGGTCCGATGGGTTTAATTAGCCTAAAGTGATCGGTTTTCATCGTTCTTTCTTCACCAGAGGGAGACTTTGTACAAAAGCCGATTGCTTGGGTACCTCTGTCCCATTCGTGTTTCAACCGTGAAGCAGTTTTGTTTGCATGGCTGTGTTTCGGTTTGAAGGGTGGGATATGGCGTGAATTTACAGGGTACAGAGGAATAACACCTGAGTTCTCAGGAATGGCAACGCATGGGGGTATCATGGGCAAAACAGTATACTCTGTTATGTCCATGGTACTGCTCACGTCTATAGGCGACGGTTATCACTTTCGATCAGGTGGACCGTCAGCTTGTTTGCCATTCTAAGTTATATAAAAAAAAAAACTATCTATTCATTACTTAGGGATTATTACTGAAAGCCCTATTGCCTGTCAGATCAACCTCCTCGCAGTCCCCCCTGAAAACCATTGTGCTTATTTACAAGTGAATTCATCACGCTGAACTGACCGATCTGCCTTTTTATCCTTTTATTTCCTCACTGGTGCTCCATCGCCGTTAACCGTTAACACGGGCGGAGTTACCATTCCATTCTCGTACATTAAAAACCTATTTAGCCAACGAAGTCGGATTGAGGCAGGATCTGAATTCCCGCTTGTAAATACAAATGCCCTTGGCGTCGGTTGCGTCACACGGGTCGTTCACCCCGATCGATCCTCGCCCCCGCGGCTGTCGGCCACGCGAGTTACGATTCGCATCCCAGATATAAGAATTAGGTCGATATTTACTTTGTATTACAAATACTATCTCTAACAATCTTTACTTAAATTGTAAGCTTGGCTTTTGCACGCGACTTCGTCTGCTTGATCGAGATATGTTCACTGATCAGGATAAAAGTAGCTTATAACTTTATTCATGTCATATAGTATATGTATTTGTTATAAAATAAATAATTTGTTATACTATAAAGGTCACAAACAAGCAAACAAACCCACTTTCACATTTAAAATATTAGTAAGGATGTGAAAGAGAGTTTGTTATTTGTTAGCACCTTTCCAGTGGGGACCATGTGAAGGTCGTCCTGACAAGATATATTGATAGCCTATGTACGTTACATGGCTAGCTATTTCCCCTTATCGAAATTGGTTCTGAATTGGCGGACGTAACTACGTGTATATATATATATATATATATATATATATATATATATATATATATATATATATATATATATATATATATATATATATATATATATATATATATATATACAAATAATAAGATTTTGTAAAATTGTGTTCCAAAAAAACAATTATTGCAAAACCAGTTATTTTCATTTAAAAAACTAAAGCACTGAATTGTTTCAGATAATATTTGTACGAGACCAAATAAAAAAGAATTTCCCAAATCGACATACTGTTGTAAGCCGATTTGAAAGATTCTTTATACACTTTTTTGTGATAGAGTAACAAACATTAAAAATAAAATGGAATTGAGAATCATTCTTTTTGAAGTTCAATACACTTCATTACATTCACTAAAATCGAACAAAGAACTTTGTTTTTTTAAATCATAAAAAAATATCAAATCAATACAGTCCAATTATCGAAGATCCAATACAAGGACTAGAAACCACAAGCGAAGCATTATAACGGTAAAAATTCCGAGCGAAATGTTTCAACCGCTGTTGTTGGGTGTAAAATATGTTTACATTTGCGTAAACAAACACGCTCGACCCGGTTTTTCGATGTTGACTCATGAAATTGTAATATCGACAACGCATCGTGCGCGTAAACTTGAACGGATATTATCTGCGCCTTAGTTTTTTTTTTTTTTTTATAGATTAATGAACCACCACCTGTCTTCTTCTTCCTGCCCTTTTTAACTGACTTCAAAAATGAAGTTCTCGATTCGGTTATATTTTATTATGTTTGTTTTTTTTATGCAACGTAGAATGGCAAACAAGCTGACGGCCCACCTGATGGAAAGTGGTAACCGTCGCCTATAGACATGAGCAGTACCATGGACATAACAGAGTATACTGTTTCGCCCATGATACCCCCTATGCGTTGCCATTCCTGAGAACTCGGGTGTTATTCCTCTGTACCCTGTAAATTCACTGCCAAATTGTTACGTCATACAAACAGGTTTGCATTTTTTTTTATCTAATTTTTTTTTTACTTACAGATTGGGTCTCATAGAAATTTTATCATATCAAAATATTTTCAGTAATTTAGTTTTTAAATCAAAATAACTGGTTTGGCCACAACCTTCGATTTTGTTTTTGTTGTGGAAATAAAAAAAAAACGAAAGAAAGATCTTTTATATCCCTTATCTATTTAAGGTTGGTATGATACGTTTTCTTCCATTCATCTCTATTTGCAGTCATCTCACTATTCACCCCCCCCCCCCTTCTAAAATAAAAATAATTTATTTACGTTTAAACAATAATATACCTTACCTACCTTATGGATTTATGTAATGATCTTATAGTAATGAAGTCATGCAAATAGTAATTTAAAAATTAAAAGTAACTTGATGTACATATATAATCGTAAATATGTCTCATGAATTAATAATAGTCAAAATACCATTAATTATATTAGTATTATTCTAATAGTGGTTGTATTTAAAACGTTTATATAGCAAAATACTAAATGTCACTCTTAAAAATTAAATAGTCCCGTATTGTATAAAAACTTGCCTTAATTACCACTCTGACAATTAACTCTCGAAATTACATCCTTACAATGTCTGTTATACTAGCGAGTAGTTTATTATATATTTTGTGTGCTAAATATATAAAGAAAAAAAAATTTGCCATGGCCATATCATCTTTCACACCGTCCATACATCTCTTTCTGGGTCTTCTTCATAACTTAATACCGTCGACATTTATACACAATACTTTTCTTACAACACTATCTTCTTCGGGCATCACGTGTCCATGAATGGCCCGCCCGTCTATGCTAATAGCATACAAAGACCTTGCAAATCATGCATACATTGGATCAAGGAAGTGTAATATGACACTGTAATTTACTCATAAATTACCTCTATGTCCGTTTTCTCAACACGTTATTATATAGATCCTTTTTTATAATAGTTGCAGGTGCTTTTGTTCAGGTATCCCGTCCTCGCTATTAGATACCGGTGGCGAGATGCCTGCTTTATTGTACACACTGAGTATATAAAATTGGGGATAGAGTGCAAATTAGGGGACATAAAGTAAGACTGACGGCCTAAGAGTAGTCGGCCCTCGATTGGACAACCCCAATCATCTTCCGGTCGCCAACCCTTGATGCAAAAAAGGGTTTTTTTTATACAACTTAAAATGGCAAACAAGCTGACGGCTTACCTGATGGAAAGTGGTAACCGTCGCCTATAGATATGAACAGTACTATGGACATAACTGTTTCGCCCATGATACCCCCCGTGCGTTGCCATTCCTGAGGACTCAGGTGTTATTCCTCTGTACTCAGTAAATTCACGCCATATCCCACCCTTCAAACCAAAACACAGCCATGCAAACACAACTGCTTCACGGTTGAAACACGAATGGGACAGAGGTACCCAAGCAATCGACTTTTGTACAGTCTCCCTGTAGTGTATCTGTGACATAGTAGGTTCTAAATGAATGGACCTATTATAATGCGGTTTTTTTTAAGTTGACTTGGTAGAGACGGTTCATAGCTACAGTTTATGAAGATCTGGCGCTAGTAAGAGATAATATTTGAGAACGAAAGCAAGTCCCTTAGTTCAATGTGACGAATTTCATAACAATTAACCACGATGGTTTCCAGAGGGAACCTTGTGGAGATCAACCTGATGGACTCGATTACTAACAATCCCTTTCTCCCCAGGCGGTTTGTTAAGCTATTACACCATCACGGTGGACTTAAAAAAAAAAACTTATATATTTCCATCGGCCCGCAGCACGAGACCGTTTCCCGTCCACCTCGTCGACGGACGACAATGAAAGCGGCACAGATGGCGAAGCAGACCGGTCTCGCCGCACGAGCATGACACACGGGATGCCGACTCCCCCGCCTGGCATCATCACGGTGCGCAAGCGCCGCGGGAACCTGCCCAAGCACTCAGTGAAGATACTGAAGCGTTGGCTGTACGATCACAGATACAATGCGTACCCCAGTGACGCGGAGAAGCTCACGCTCAGCCAAGAGGCTAATCTTACTGTTTTACAAGTGAGTATTCATCTAATGAGTATTTTAAATATAGTTAATAACGCCATATGTTATTATGATCGCATTTTAAATTGGCTAGGTATGTTTGAATGCAAAAAATAAATAATATTATGAATTTTGAAATTTATATAGATGTTTATCATTCAATCATAATTTAATACCTAACTAGTTTTGAATAAAATATAGTACATAGGTAGGTTATATCCTAACTTACCACAATAATACTTTATGGACTGATACACTCAGACAAAGCCGCGTTAAACAGTTAATAATAATATTTCAAATAAGTGATGCATCATCTTTATTTCATATAAGTCTTCATCTTATTTCGCTACAAAGTATGTTTCTGCGCCACATGTAGCACTGACCTGTATAAAACTTGTGAAATTTATTTTAATAACATTACGCTTTTTCCATCAGCAATATGATAAATGTTGGAAGAAAATTTTCTTTGTAGAATACGTAACGCCATCTATTGGTAATTGCTAGTATTTTACAACAATGTACAGTTTTTAAATGATGTTAGTACAGACTAAATCTTCTAGATGGCGCTCACCTATAAAATATTCTTGCTTTAAAAATTTAAATATTCTATTATCTATAATATAATAAGATATAGAAGCAAGTTTATACAGAAGTAGTTTATATGGATATACCTACCTCTGTCTGTACATGCATACCATGGATGTCACAGTGTATTCTGTAATATCTAATTTACTTTTAAGAAAAGAAATTGAAAATAGTTTTATTTTGTATTCATAATATGAAAATAAAACATATATGTGATATTATATTATTTTATATGCATAAAACCATAGTATTTATTTATTCTAAAGTATTCAAGAATGGCAATCCATAATTGTTATTACAGATCTTACAGTGTATTCCATGATATCAATGGTGCAGTTCTGTGCTGGCTGTCATCTTGTTTATTTGCAGCTGTATATAAAAAAACATATAACCACCAACCAATATCTTTCAACAAAAAAAAATTTTGTACAATTTTTCCCCAGCTTATCTATGTCTTTTTCTATATTATGTAGACAAATAATGTTTGTACATCAGTATCTTGAGAATCGTACATGTGGTCCCAGCATAGAATAAACCACCCCCTTCCTTTCCTGTTCATTCATTCAGTTGATTTCCGAAATTATTCCGACCAAGAATCAAACCTGGAATCTCGTCTACGCAAAGAAACATGCTTACCACTGCACCACAGAAAAAGAATACTTGGTTTTTCGACAAAATTCATATTAAGTTTTTTTTTTTTTGTGTTCGGTTAACAATCGATATTTCAAATCGGCAGGTATGCAACTGGTTTATCAACGCGCGGCGGCGCATTCTGCCCGAGATGATCAGGCGGGAGGGCCACGACCCGTTACACTATACGATATCACGGCGCGGCCGCAAGCAGCCCGCCGCCTCGGGCAGTGGCTCCGGCAGCGGCGTGGTCGTCACATCTTGGGAGGGCATCGAGGTTGAGGTGAGGACACCGGTACTAGGTTATCTGTGAGACGGTGTTGCTCCTACTACGTTGTTGCTACTACGTTGTACTAAAATACAGTCCAGATAGATATACTCATTTACGAATTTAGAATCGAGATAGAATTAATTACTCAGTTCTACTCTATATATGTTCAGTAAATATTGAGAAGGAAATTAATTATTACTTAGTAATAATAATAAATATTGATCTTTCACAAAAATATAGTACTTAGTTGCCAAATTAAATCTCTTCGGTCGTACACTCTTGACAGAGTGGTCGTGGTTTTTATAATGACAGTGGATCGTGGATGAGGCCCTCCTTGATTGAGGTCCTCGCAATGCATCTCCATCTACTTCTGCTCACAGCCAAGCGAGAGCATTCCACAATAGACTGCCAAATGAAATGTTTTTAAAAATTTAATATCAACTGATGTTTATGCAAATTACTGATGAGTATATATTTTTAATTTTAATTACTTATATAATATAATATAAATTAAATATACTTTTACAAAAAATAGATATTATATATATATGATATATATTATGATATATATTCCATATATATATATATATATATATATATATATTATGTGATAATGTTCAACGCTATAGTATATGCTGAGTGCAAGTCCCATTCAGTATTCACTGAAGTATATGTAATGTCAAATGGCTAATAAATATTTTTTCTATTTCTAGTCCATAACTTATTAGATTAATTTTAATTTATAAGTGTAAATGTAAGTAAGGAAAAAATATAGCAACCATAGACTTCCAAACTTATTGTAATTATAAAGTAAATTTTCCTAGTACATAGTGTCATTAATAGTTCGGTATTTATTATATCCACTAGGTAGTTCTTTATACTACTTTTTCATTTATATATGACATTAAATTGTATATGTCACTATACAGTATAATTTATTATTATAGAGTAATAATATAGTAAACTTTTATTCAAGAAGTAATTTAATAATTTATTAATGTTCAATCAGTAATTATTTTGTCACCCCTTTTTTATTCAAAGTAGGTATGGATAATATACAGGAATATCCATATATTTTAGTTACAATATCTATCTACTGCTTCAATAATGAATGTTATGTTGTCTGCTATCCAAAAAAAAATTTTTTTTTTTATGGGTGAAAATGGTATGGTAACTCCGCCTGCGCTAACGTTATATGCTGGCGGAACACCAGTGAAGGGTGATAGATGAGAATGAAAACGGGCCAGTTAGCCCATCATGATGAATTCATCAGGAATTAACCATGATTGTTTCCAGGGAGAACCGCGAGGAGGTAGACCTGGTTGGGTATATTGCTAGTAATGGGATTCTCAGTCTCCATTACTAACAATCCCTTTCCCCCCAAAAAAAAAGTATTGGATAACAGATTTTTAATCTATTTGAATATAGATTACAGTTAGACAGCTTTACTTATTATATGTTGCGCGTTATCAACATACAAGATTAAGTATAAACACAAGTAAAAATATTTTAATGAGTAGAAGAAATTATGCTTTGGGTAGATCTACCTCCGTGAAGACAACGTTTGCTCAAAAATTTTTATATTTCCGTGCAGGTAGAATATATAATCATATAAACAAAAAAATTAACATATACAATACTACTAAATATATATTAAAGAGAAAGTCATTTCAATATTTGAGTTCCCTTAGTTACCAAGAAACGGAAAAGATTATGGAAATTAAACAGTAACACACACACACACACACACACACACACACACACACACACACACACACACACACACACACACACACACACACACACACACACACACACACACACACACACACACACACACACACACACACACACACACACACACACACACACACACACACACACACACACACACACACACACACACACACACACACACACACACACACACACACACACACACACACACACACACACACACACACACACACACACACACACACACACACACACACACACACACACACACACACACACACACACACACACACACACACACACACACACACACACACACACACACACACACACACACACACACACACACACACACACACACACACACACACACACACACACACACACACACACACACACACACACACACACACACACACACACACACACACACACACACACACACACACACACACACACACACACACACACACACACACACACACACACACACACACACACACACACACACACACACACACACACACACACACACACACACACACACACACACACACACACACACACACACACACACACACACACACACACACACACACACACACACACACACACACACACACACACACACACACACACACACACACACACACACACACACACACACACACACACACACACACACACACACACACACACACACACACACACACACACACACACACACACACACACACACACACACACACACACACACACACACACACACACACACACACACACACACACACACACACACACACACACACACACACACACACACACACACACACACACACACACACACACACACACACACACACACACACACACACACACACACACACACACACACACACACACACACACACACACACACACACACACACACACACACACACACACACACACACACACACACACACACACACACACACACACACACACACACACACACACACACACACACACACACACACACACACACACACACACACACACACACACACACACACACACACACACACACACACACACACACACACACACACACACACACACACACACACACACACACACACACACACACACACACACACACACACACACACACACACACACACACACACACACACACACACACACACACACACACACACACACACACACACACACACACACACACACACACACACACACACACACACACACACACACACACACACACACACACACACACACACACACACACACACACACACACACACACACACACACACACACACACACACACACACACACACACACACACACACACACACACACACACACACACACACACACACACACACACACACACACACACACACACACACACACACACACACACACACACACACACACACACACACACACACACACACACACACACACACACACACACACACACACACACACACACACACACACACACACACACACACACACACACACACACACACACACACACACACACACACACACACACACACACACACACACACACACACACACACACACACACACACACACACACACACACACACACACACACACACACACACACACACACACACACACACACACACACACACACACACACACACACACACACACACACACACACACACACACACACACACACACACACACACACACACACACACACACACACACACACACACACACACACACACACACACACACACACACACACACACACACACACACACACACACACACACACACACACACACACACACACACACACACACACACACACACACACACACACACACACACACACACACACACACACACACACACACACACACACACACACACACACACACACACACACACACACACACACACACACACACACACACACACACACACACACACACACACACACACACACACACACACACACACACACACACACACACACACACACACACACACACACACACACACACACACACACACACACACACACACACACACACACACACACACACACACACACACACACACACACACACACACACACACACACACACACACACACACACACACACACACACACACACACACACACACACACACACACACACACACACACACACACACACACACACACACACACACACACACACACACACACACACACACACACACACACACACACACACACACACACACACACACACACACACACACACACACACACACACACACACACACACACACACACACACACACACACACACACACACACACACACACACACACACACACACACACACACACACACACACACACACACACACACACACACACACACACACACACACACACACACACACACACACACACACACACACACACACACACACACACACACACACACACACACACACACACACACACACACACACACACACACACACACACACACACACACACACACACACACACACACACACACATTTTATTTTGTATATTCGTTTTCACAAATTTTAATTTTAGCTTAATGCAAGCTGTACATGGTGTCCGAGTTGGGGGCCTGGATTCCTGAGATACAGATCTCTGATCTAGTTTAGGGTCCAGTCTCCCACAAGTTTTACAGACCACTTTAATTATACATACATATATAGTTGTATTTTTTCATGTAACATTCTGTAAGATTTGTGGAGAAAATAAATAAATAAATAAATAATAAAAATAGATATACGACCGATATGGACGATACTGAAATGAGTGATGACCATTTTTCCCTCATCAATGTCCAGGACAATCCAGAGATCAAAGATAAAGGCTTTTTCCTGAGTCTTTCATTCCTAATCCAGTCAGAGCATAATATACACGGAGTTAGTACTTAGAATAAAACGAATGACTTTATTCTAGAACGAGCAAGACCGCAGCGCAGAGCACGAGTACAGCGACGGACTACTGGTGTACCGCAGCGACGGAGATGACATAGCAGACGGCGAGGAAGGCTACTCGTCAAGCGCGATCAGCGAGGAGGAGGTCAAATACGACCCCTCCGTGTGGCAGTCCGTCATACGCTACGGGCCGGAGGACAGAGAGCTGCATCCAGCCGCTAGGGGGTGAGTGAGCAGCGTTAAGCAGTAACACAAGTATATTTACAATATACATGTTTGTATTTTCAAGTGAAACATTATAAGCATATAAAAGTTTCTTCAGGATTGGCAATGGATATGTGACACCCCTAGTGTTGCAAGCGTACTAGGCTAACCGTTTGCCATTAGACGAGCTGTATGCTTATTTATCACCTTCATGATATAAAATAAAACATCCAAGATATATTTTCGACAATAACTAATTTGAATAAAAAAAAAAGTTCTGAAAACATAGGTATTAATGTAAATACCAATAGTTTTTACGAATTTGAATTTTTTTTTATTTATTTTTTTTTTTCATCAGATTTAATATGATGTAATGTTGTGATAAAGCTTAATTTACATTGAGAAACTAATTTAGATAAAATTACATATATTTTACAGTATAAACTCTTTTAAAAATGTCTTCGTAATTCTTTTTTTTTTTTAATTAATAAAATTCCCAATAGCGCTGAAGTTATGACTCAAAGTTACGCTAATTTCGTATTACGTTTGCGCAATAAAATTAAATACAATACATGTCATTGGGTTCCCTGTCCTTGATAGATAGGTAAATAATTTATTGTCCATCTGGAAATTGTTTCCTTTTTTTTCCAACTTTCCAAGCAATCTGACAGCCCACCTGATGGTAAGTGGTAACCGTCGCCTATAGACATGAGCATTACCCTGGAATTTACAGAGTATACTGTTTTGCCCATGATACTCCTTATGTGTTGACATTCCTGAGCACTAAGGTGTTATGCCTCTATGGGTACAGAGGCAAATGTAAGCCTCTGTAAATTTACTGCTACCCTTCAAACCGAAACACTACTGCTTCACGGTGGAAACAAGAATGGGGCAGAGGTGCCCAAGCACAGTCTCCCTCTGTTTTGCTTCCGTTTAACAGATCATTTCTATCAGTGTAGTTCAACGTTTTTATCAATTACTGAAAAACAAAGGAAAGAAACTTATTGTTGTTTATAATTAAGCTAAAAACATTTTGTGCTGTGAATTTTATTTTCTTAGATACTCTTCACTGTTTCCTCCCAAAGATTACAATAGTAAACTTATCATAGATACAAACAATAACAAATGCAATGGCGACGAGTGTTTTGGTCCCGTATAGTAAAAGTATAGTGTTATGTTGGGTGGTAGCACGGCGGCCGTGGTGACGGTGCGTACGTCTGAGTCGGAGGAGGCGGAGGCGGGCGAGGCGGGCGAGGGCGGCGCGGCCGGCGGCTGGCACCCGCAGCTCGCGCACCTGCCGCAGCTGCCGCACCCGCTGCACCCGCTGCGGCGCCGCCTGCAGGTACATCTTCACAAGCCTCACGGAACGACCTTACCGTTCCCACGATTGTAATCTAATGTAATATGGACCGCTTAGCCTCTCATTTGGGCCGTTGTGCGTATGAGTTGTGGCTAGTACAGCCAACCCAGCTCCGCCCAGAAGCGCAGAAGCTTCCTGGGATCTTCACAGGCCTCACGGAGCGACCTCACCGTTATAATATATTTACTAGTACAAATAGTTGTATCATATTGGGATCCAGCTTGCACCTGTCAATAAGAAAAGTGGTGTATTAAAATGATGTATGCTACATAGTCATTAATTAGTGAGCAAAGTTTTTTTAATGGATGGTAATGGAATGGTAACCCCGCCTGCGCTAACAATATACACTAGCGGGGCACCAGTGAGGAATAATAGTTGAGAATGAAAAAGCAGGTCAGTTAGCCCTCCGTGATGAGTATACCTAGAATTCTGCACGATTGTTTCCAAGGGGAACTACGTGGAGGTCGACCTGACAGGGTATAGGGCAATGTGATTGGTAATCCGCATTACTTATCCTTTCCTTCCTAGTGAGCAAAGTTAATACTATGGATATCAAGAGAGTGATTGTTGTGTACAGGTGGTGCCCGCAGGCAGTGCAGCTGCGTCGGCGGCTACAGGGGCGGAGGGCGAGCGCGACAAGTTCAAGTGCCTGTACCTGCTGGTCGAGACCGCTGTCGCCGTGCGCCAGCGCGAGAAGGAGGCCGAGGAAGTGCCTGTCTAGTGACCGGTACTGATGCATTTTATTACTCATATTAAGATTCAGCTGTTCTTGAATGGCTCTGTTTCCATGTAAAAAGTTTGATATGGCAATAACATACTGGGAACACTGGCATAACATCTATCATAAATATAAAACAAGACGGCAACATAGAGCAATTTGTTCTGTATTTAATAATACTACATAATTTTTTTCATCATAATTCTGCTAGTTTCAAAAGAAGTATGTTATGCTATAAATTGTAAAACTACAATAAAGTTATTTAATAGGAAAAGAATGCTATATATTATTATAAATATATACAATATTAGTAAGGATCAATCACTCTTGATCCTTACTAATATTATTGTGAGTGAAGGACTAACAATGTATCCGATATTATAGATCTGTGTTTTTCAAAGTGTGGGTCGCGACTCGTTGGGGAGTCCCCGAACCTTTATGGGTCGCGGAAGGTCGCGAAGCAGTGAAAAATCAACAGTTCCGTAAATACATCAATCAATCAATCAATCAATCAATCAATAATACATAATGAAGTATCTACATATAACAGACATCGATTACATGTCTGTTTTAGATACTTTATTATGTATTATTTATTTTATTTAATCGATACCTAACTGTGAATATAAATACAACTGTACGGATTTCATAATTGTACTATAATAAAATTCATACACATTCGAAATCTTGAAGGGTGGGGATCGCAAGATATTTTTACATAATAAGGGGGTCGCGCCATGAAAAAGATTGAAAAAACACTGTTATAGACTGTATGTTGATGTATAATTAAACAATGCTTTTAAAGAAATATAACTATAATAAAGAAAACTATAGAAGACAGAGTACGACAATGACAAAGAGCAAAATGTCAATTATAAAAGAAAAAGTATAAAAAGAAATATAAAAATAAAATCTATAACTAAGGAGTTTGCAATAATTATAAATGTGTGTTTATTTGTTTGTTACCATAGTGCCTTAATGGCTTAACTGGTCGCAATGAAATTTTGGTATACACGTGCTGTATGGGACGTAAAAGGATATAGGCAATATTTACCAGAGGGAGACTTTGTACAAAAGTCGATTGCTTGGGTACCTCTGTCCCATTCGTGTTTCAACCGTGAAGCAGTTGTGTTTGCATGGCTGTGTTTCGGTTTGAAGGGTGGGATATGGCGTGAATTTACTGGGTACAGAGGAATAACACCTGAGTCCTCAGGAATGGCAACGCATGGGGGGTATCATGGGCGAAACAGTATACTCTGTTATGTCCATGGTACTGCTCATGTCTATAGGCGACGGTTACCACTTTCCATCAGGTGAGCCGTCAGCTTGTTTGCCATTCTAAGTTCTATAAAAAAAAAAAAAAAAAAAAGGCAAATTTTTATCACGATTACGCGGACGAAGTCGTGGGTAATAGCTGGTAAATAAATATCCAATCCGTAACTTGTATGTAATTTTTTTTTTGATGGGTGAAAATGGTATGGTAACCCCGTCTGCGCTAACGGGATACGCTGGTGGAGTACCAGTGAAGGGTGATAGATGAGAATGAAAATAGGCCAATAAGCCCATCATGATGAATTCATCAGGAATTAACCATGATAGTTTCCAGGGAGAACCGCGAGGAGGTCGACCTGGTTGGGTCTATTGCTAGCAATGGGATTCTCAGTCTCCATTACTAACAATCCCTTTCCCCCCTGTATGTAATATTAGACATTTTCTATACATATTAGTGTAATCCTGGTTTTCCTATACAAATAATTTCAACATGAATGTCTCTTTTGTTCGTAGATTAACCGGAACATCTCGGCAGGTGTGTTGAGTGTGAACCAGCCACACGGATACGGTACATGGCTATGACTAAACTATTCTATACTTCCATTAATTACTCTAGGCTTGCACCGTCGCGTATTATAAACGTGGACGATATTGTAGCGATTGTCGCTTTATGTCACGTAACTGTGCGAGGTCGCCGTAACACCGCACGCTGTTGTACGCAGCCGCGTAGCATTTAGTGAGTAATAATTGTAATATTTATTCCTCACCTCGATTGGTAACACGTAACATAGTCTACTAAGTGCTATATTACACTATCAAACGTATAGGGTCAATTTATAAAGCAATTTATACACGTTGAGTTCCACGCCGATTTTCGAAGAAGTCCCCCGCCACAGGCCATGCGCGCTGCTCGAAACGCTGGTATTGTAGGGAACCGTTTTTATGTTTTAATTAAATCCATTGATCCTGTAAAGAGTCGAAATGAAGTATATTTTAAATAAATTTTCTGTAATTCCTTAAAACAGTGTAAATTTTATAGTTCTGTATCATGTTATCCACATCGATGGCTGACACTGTATAACATAAATTAACGAAAAAAGGAGAGTAGGGTTTTTAAGGAGTATGTATTTATGAGTTATACATGATGGTTTTATAAATGGAACGTTTTATTCGTGTTGATTGTAGCAGTGCTATATATAATATATTATATTATATATAATACCATATTGGGCATGTATTCAATGTTTTTTTTTTTTTTTTTTTTTTTTTTTTTACAACACAGGGGGCAAACGAGCATGCGGCTCACCTGATGGTAAGTGACTACCGCCGCCCATGATCACCCACAACACCAGCGGCATTGCAGGTGTGCTGCCGGCCTTTTAAAAAGGAATATACTCTTTTCTTGAAGGTTATGTTGTCGTATCGGTTCGGAAATACTGCTGCTGGAAGTTGATTCCAAAGAATGGTTGTGCGTGGAAGAAAGTGCCTTGAAAAACGCACGGTGGAAGACCGCCACTCGTCCAGATGATTGGGATGAAACTTTAGTTTGTGGCGGGTTGTACGGTGGTGAAAATCAGCAGCAGGTATCAATCCGAACAATTCCTCAGAACACTCCCCATGATAAATTCGGTAGAAGATGCACAGAGATGCAACATCTCTGCGCAGTTTCAGTGGGTCGAGTCGGACAGTAAGGCGTTGACTATCGATAATTCGAGCCGCCCGACTTTGAATGCGGTCTAACGGAAGGAGTTGGTACTGTGGCGCTCCTGCCCACAGGTGAGAACAGTATTCCATATGCGGCCTGACTTGGGCTTTATATAATTTCAGGCGGTGTTCTGGCATGAAATATCGTCTCACCCTATTGAGTACTCCTAACTTTTTGGAAGCTATCTTAGCCTTCTCCTCCAGATGACCGCAAAACTGGACGTCGCAAGATATATCAACGCCCAGAATTCCTAGACTCGACTTTTTATCAAGGGAAGTGCCCTGAAAGTGAGGAGATACGACAAACGGCGTCTTTTTTGCGGTAAACGCGCAGACTTGTGTCTTTTTGGGGTTAAATTGGACAAGATTTTGTTCACCCCAGATCGAAACTTGATGGAGTGAAGTTTCGATTTCAGACACAAGTCTATTCCGGCACTCATCGGTATGTGCCCGCGAGATCTTTGCATGACCGGTATATAATGTATCTCCTGTACTGTCGTCCGCATAGCAATGAATATTACTTATCTGTAACATATCATTGATATGCAGAAGAAACAGAGTCGGAGATAGTACACAGCCTTGCGGGACACCAGCATTCAAAGGTTTTAAATCAGAGCATGCTCCGTCGACTACGACCTTAATGCTACGTTCCTTGAGAAAACTGGCGACCCAAATGCACAGTCTCGCAGGCAACCCAAAAGAAGGTAGCTTTGAAAGCAGCGCTCTATGCCACACCCGATCAAAGGCCTTCGCGATATCCAGACTAACTGCTAAGGCCTCTCCCTTACTCTCGATTGCCACTGCCCATCGGTGTGTTAAGTAAGCTAAAAGATCACCAGCCGAACGTCCCTGTCGAAAGCCGTACTGGCGATCACAGATCAGCTGGTGCTCTTCTAGGTACCGGAGCAGTTGACGGTTAATGATGGATTCCATAACCTTCGAGAATAAGGAAGTGATAGCTATGGGCCTATAGTTAGCTGGATCTGAGCGATCTCCCTTTTTAGGGATCGGATGCACCAGAGCAGTCTTCCAAAACTTTGGGACTATGCCCGATGAGTAGCTAAGCCGAAAAAGACGCGTAAGAACCGGAGCCAACTCTGGTGCGCACGTCCTAAGCACAATTGGAGGAATACCATCGGGCCCACTCGACTTATGGATTTCGAGGGAGAAAAGTGCTCTACGCACTGAGCTATGCGTGAATTTAATGTCAGGCATAGAGCTCCTACAACACGTGATGGTCGGTGGTGATTTCATCCCGTCATCCAATGTCGAGTTTGACGCAAAGATGGATCCAAGAAGATCGGCCTTTTCCTTAGCGTTCTGGGCCAACGAGTCATCCTCCCTGCGCAATGGTGGAAAAGATGACTTACAGAAATTCCCTTGTGCAGCTTTGGCAAGAGACCAGAAAGCTCGAGTCCCAGAGGGCAAACTAGCTAATCTCTTGCCAATTCTACTGATATGCTCTGACTTCGCTGTGGCTATAACTCTTTTGAAAGACCTAGAGGCAGAGTTATACTTCTTTTTGAGAGCACTGGTGTTAGGATCTCGCGACGCCACACCTTTAGCCCAGGTTAGGAAGCACTCCTGTTTCAGACGAGAAGCTGTTCTACAAGAGGCTCCATACCAGGGCTGGGATTTCCCGCCGACGGGCACCACAGAGTTAGGAATAAATAATTCCATTCCCTGAAGCACCACATCAGCAATGGAATCGGCAATGGCGTCAGGATCATCCAGTGTGAAGCAAACCCGCCTCCATGGGTAAGATGCGAAAAAAATCCGCATCTCATCCCAGTCCGCTGACCTGTAGTGCCAGACACGACGTCTACCCGTGGAACGTGGTGGAATCGGACTCATGAGAGGCACCTCGCTCCGCACCAGACTGTGATCCGACGATCCAAGCGGAGCTTCGACGGAAATCACATAGTTGTCTGGGTGGGTGGTCAGCAGAAGGTCCAACAGTGAAGGTGAATGGTCCAACACATCAGGTATTCGCGTAGGCGAGGAAACAAGCTGCGTCAGACCATAAGCCAAAGCAAAGTCATGAACAGATCTTCCCGCATAGTCGGTTGTACGTGAACCAAGCCATTCGGTATGGTGGGCATTAAAATCGCCAAGAATCACGACTTCAGCGGAAGGAATCTGTTCGAGCAGGGAATCTGTAGCCATTTGGACGTGCTCAATGAGTTGGTCGGTTTCGATGTTACCGCTATGGGACCTGTATAGGCATGCATAGACGCGAGGATGGTCATTGCAGTCTACGCGCAGCCATAAAATAGACAGGTCCGTACCTTCAAGAGTTCCAAGGCGGCGACAGCAGATATCCTCTCTGACATACGCGCATACACCGGCACGCGAAACAAAACAATGTTCAAGTTTATAGCCCGGGTACGTCAGGTATGAAGTTTCGTTTGGAGAGGATATCTGTGTCTCCGTTAGAAAGAGCAATGCCGGCCGCGCCGTTTCTAGGTGGTGGTGGACAGCGTTTAGGTTAGAATGTAATCCCCTGATATTGCAGAAGCTCACATTGAGCGAAGGGGATGCCGTAGAAATCTTGCTCCGTTTGCCCTTGGTTCCAAAGAGCGGAATTTTGCCCCCCCCAGAATACGCAGGGCAGCCCGAGCGTGGTTGCTCGAGAGAGGATTCTCCAGCAACATGGTTACTGGTACCTCCCTGGGGTATGCTATTTTTTTTTAATTCCACTGCCATGGTTGCGTGTTGTAAGATAGGGGGACGGGGTTGGGGAAAGGATTTTAGGAATAGGAAAGGGATGGGTATGGGATGGGTATGGGATGGGCCTCCGGACTCCCTCACTCACCGTACGGAATGTGATCGCACTGAAAGTGCAACCACTTAGCGTCGGTATTCTGTGAGGGTGTGGTACTTCCCCGGTCGAGCCGGCCCATTCATGCTGCAATACCATATGGTATTACAGCGTGGCTCTACCACCTAAATGATGATCACTTTTAATTTTACCATGTATTACAATACTTTATATATTTGACAGTGTAAATATACATATTTTTAAAGAAAATTACTTGGGAGGCTTAACAAGTACCCCCTCCTTGAAAAAAAATGTCAACCAATAAACAGTGCTTTCATATTTGTATTTTGTATTAAACAATAATTAGGTTTTACTTACAGTATATATATACGAATAAATGTCTATTAATTATTTATGACAGTGTTTTTCAACATGTGGGTTGCGACCCTCTGGGGGGTCGCGAAAACTACCTCTGTCAAAAAAAAACAATGTTATAAAAATAGGTTTATTGAGAATAATGATAATTAAAACATTTGTATATTAATACATATTAACAAAAAAAAACCTATGACTCATCCAATGCGTTAGATAACGAAAAAGTCCCTACAACATTTTATACAACATTGTATACCTCGATAGATGGGGTTGATCATAGAGGACTTATATTGTTTTACCATCCATTGTTACCTATGTATCACAAAATAAATAAATAAACATTTTTCTAACGTCATAAAATACATGAAAAAAAGCAAAGGGTCGGGGGTCGCCAAATATTTTTTTCATGCTAAGGTCGTGTCATGAAAAATGTTGAAAAACACTGATTTTATAGTATTTGTTTCCCTTTGTTCCGTAATTACAGACATCTTTGTACGGCGATGATACGCGTTTTTATATGCCTACGATATAAACTCTATAAGTAGTAAACAATTATGGTTTTATATCACTTCCCATAATGCTGACAAACTCTGCCCTTGCCTACCGTGAAAGTTTATTTTAAAGACATTTCAGAAATTCCTGGAAATATTGTTACTTAGTGTATCCTAAATGTTCCCAGTGCATAAAAAAAAGCCGAACCTGATCTATTCCGAATGCAACACTCAATTTTCTAACAATTTTTCTTTATTTTCTGGCACAAAATAAATTAAAAATTTGATAATTGCAACACAAAGCAAGACTTGGTGGTATATCAACGTCGTGTTGATTTATAATTGAATGTAGAAATGACATATGAAGATTACCAAATAACTGTCAATTACGTAAGGTGTCGTAATATCTGCGTTTTTTTTTTATACAACTTAGAATGGCAAACAAGCTGACGGCCCACCTGATGGAAAGTGGTAACCGTCGCTTATAGACATGAGCAGTACCATGGACATAACAGAGTATACTGTTTCGCCCATGATACCCCCCATGCGTTGCCATTCCTGAGGAGTCGGATGTTATTCCTCTGTACCCAGTAAATTCACGCTATATCCCACCCTTCAAACCGAAACACAGCCATGCAAACACAACTACTTCACGGTTGAAACACGAATGAGACAGAGGTACCCAAGCAATCGACTTTATTATTATTATTAATATCAATCGATCAATCATTTATTTGCATAAACATATGTGCAGTTACAAATTTCATGTTATATCCATTCAGTCCGCCGTATGTATACTTATATAATTGTGCATTGCAAGTTTAAATAAATTACAATAATTTATTCAATTAATACTAGTGTCTTACGCTTTACCAATCAAATTAAATAAATTTAAAATTTTTTGGTTC